TCCCCTTCTTTAGGCAGCGTGAAATGGAAGGAAATGTCTGCCAGAGGAAAAAAAGGAAAGGCAGAAAGGCATGATGGGACTTCCCAGGATGTAGTGTTAAGTCTGCACTGCTCACAAATAACCAGCTAAAGGAACAAAGAAGACAAAAAACAGAACTATTCCTGAGCCGAGAGGGTGCAATTAGGGAGTTTAATGTGTAGCTGGGGTGTAGCTGAGTATGTAGTATATAGTCAGAGGGTAGTTAGCTTGTTGCTACAGTGTAGTTGTGGTCAAGTTTGCAGCTTATTTCGCTAACGTTAAGTTAGCATGCAGCCATTGTGCAGTTTTGGTTGTAGTTTGTGAGCATGTTTCCTAGTTTCTGAGCAGTGTACGAGTAGATAATTTTGAATTAGCCTGTAGTTAGCCTGTAAAAAGACAGGAGTTAGCTTGTAGGTAACCTATAGTTACCATTTAATCATACTTTGTAGGACAATTCACCTGTAGTTAGCGTACAGCTAGAATGAGGTTAGCATTTTAATGTTTAGTTAGCCCATAGTTAGCCTGTAGCTTGCCCATAGTTAGCATACAGCTAGAATACGGTTAGTCTGTATCAAATTTTAGTTAGCATGAAGCAAGACAGGACTTAACTTAGTTAACATATAGTTACCATGTAATCTTATTGTGTAGGATAGTTAGCATACAGCTAGAATGAGGTTAGCATTTTGGTGTGTAGTTAGCTTATAGTTAGCCTGTAGCTAGCCCATAGTTAACAAACAGCTAGAATGCAGTTAATGTGTAGTCAGCCTTTAATTAGCCTATTGTTAGCATGTAACAAGACAGGAGTTAGCCTACAATTAACCTATAGTTACCATGTATTGTGTAGGATAGTTAGCCCATAGTTAACGTACAGCTAGAATGAGGTTAGCATTGTAATGTGTAGTTAACATATAGTTAGCCTGTAGCTAGCCCATAGTTAACACACAGCTAAAATAGCCTCACCTCCCGAGCTGTCACCCAGGCTCCGGTCTCCCAGACCCTCTGGTTCGGCCCCGGCCGCCTGCTCCTCTTCATCCCGGCTCTGAGAGGCGAGGCCGTTGGTGGAGGCGGAGACGGGTGCTCCTTCTCCTCCTCCTCCTCCTTTTCCTCCTTCTTCTCCTACTCTTCTTCCGGCCAGCTGTGGGCCTCCTCCTACTCCTCCAGCCAGCTTTGGACTTTCTTCTCCTCCTCTTCCTTCTCCTGGCTGTAGGCCACCGCCTCCTCCTCCTCCTCCTTCTCCCGGCTGTGCTCCTCCTCCTCCTCCGGCGTTCCTCCTGGGGCCGCCGTCCTCCTCCAGGAGCTGGGAGTTCCTCTGGCTGTCTGTGAGGACGTCCTCCTCCATGGGCTCAGGGGACAGCATCTGGCTCTGGGAGAGGACCAGAGCCAGCCCTGAGGCCTCTCCTCCTGTGTTCTCCGCCTCCATCACCACCTCCTCCTGCTCCTCCTCTTCCTCCTCCTCCTTCTCCTCCTCCTCCTCTTCCCGAGCAGCTTCGTGGTTTGACTGACTCGCCGGCGTTTCCAGAGGAAGCTTCACGCCAGCAGAAGGCTGAGAAACCCCCGACTGTGAGGGCAGAGTGCAGGCCGTGGAGAAGGAGGTGGAGGTGATGGAGGAGGTGATGGAGGAGGTGGTGGAGGAGGACGGCGTCTCCTGCACAAGGCCGTCAGAAGGCGTCCCGGCCGGCTCGGGCTGGGAGCCGGACGCCGCTCGGCTCCTGGTGGCCTCCAGGCTGTGTTTGTCCTCAGAGGCCTTAGGCTCCTCCTCCTCCTTCTTCTTCTCCTCCTCCTTCTCCTCCTCTGGTTCCTCTATCTGTGTGGCCTGGCTGTCCTCCTCCGGCTCCTCCTCCTCCGTCCGCCGGCCCTGGCTGTTGGCAGAGAGCTGGGGAGGCGGCGAGGCCGGTTTGGCCCCCGGCTGAGGAGGCGCCTCGGGGCTCTGCGTGGGGACGAACACGTCCTGAGGAGCACAGATCACAAAGCAGTTTTATCCTCTAATAAAACTCCCGTTTCATCTCAGAGCCTGAACAAAAGGTCATTAACCCACTTTTAAAATGGGTAAAATGGTAAAAACCTAAAGAAAATAACTGGAGAAAACCAACATGTTACTTATGAAATATGTGCTCAATTTGTTTATAAAAAATTGATAAACCATAGCTTATAAAAATAAATTCAATAAAAAAGTATTTATTTAAATGTAATTTAATTTCATCAAATGTAATCCAGTTCAATTACATTTAATCAAGTTTAATAGAAGTTGAAATAATTTAATTAAATGTAATATATTTTCATTTAATACATTTTAATTATCATAAAATTCATTTTAATCTAATTTTATGAAATGTATCATTTAGGTTAGGTTATGTAATCTTATGCAATTAAAAGTGCTATGTTATGTGTTACATACTATGTGCTACGTGCTACATGCTACGTGCTACATGTTATGTTTTATGTGATATATGCTACGTGCTACATGTTATGTTTTATGTGATATATGCTACGGGCTATATGCTACGTACAATGTGGTTCATGCTACGTGCTATGTGGAGCATGCTATGTGCTAAATGCTAGATGCTACATTTTGTGTGCTACATGTTATGTGCTACATGCTACACGCCACATGCTACATGCTACGTGAGGCGCCTTGTGGGCAGACTAGAAACCGTCTAGATTCAGAGGGAGGCACACACATGGGAGAACTCAGGCTGGGAGGGCACGGAGGGGGTCCGGTCCAGCTCCAGCCCCGGGGGTTTCTGGGAGACGGGGGTGGAGGAGGCTGGGTGGGGTCCGGAAGGCGGGTGGGGCTTGGAGAAGGCAGCCTCCGTTTCCATTGGCTCGTCCTTCTCGCTGTCTGGAGGCAGCGACGTGTCCATCGGCTCGTCAGCGCCTGAGAGGAGAAACACGTTTAGCTTCAGCTCCTGGACCCGGACCAGGACCAGATCTGGACCCAGACCAGGATCAGGACCGGGACCTAGACCTTGACCAGGACCCAGACCCCAGACTGGACC